ATATCTTTTGTTTTGAGCGCTTCTTTCAGCAAACTCTCATCCTCTTCGGGGGGAAATACTAAAATATCCGAATGGGTAACTTCTAGCTTTATATAGGTGATATGCGAAAAATAGCGATTACGATTTCCGTGTATTGAAACAAATTTACCAATTTTAAGGCTTTCTATATCAATATTTGAAGCGATTCTCATAATGAATCCTTCAGCTAATGATCCAGAAATTATATGGCCTAATGCTTTGTTCATGTACTTATTCGTGAGTCAAAAAAACTGTCGCACTATTCCGATTAACTTCTAAAATACCATCAACTACTTTAACTACCTTTTTGGTACCATTATCAAGTCCGAGTATCAAATCCTTATTGCTGGCGAGAGCAGTTATAAGAGGAGCATGACCAGGTTGTACTATAAAGTTACCAGTGCTCGTATTTGCTTCTATCCATTCTGCCTGTACCGTGGTAGCGCTTAATGGACTCATGAGGGTTACGGTAATGAATTTATTATTCATAGTTTAATTTTTTAGCTTTTTCAAATACTTCCTCTAACGTGCCGACCATATAAAATGCTTGTTCTGGCAAATCGTCACATTCGGATATTTTAGTATTTCCCCCCCGAAGAGGATGAGAGTTTGCTGAAAGAAGCGCTCAAAACAAAAGATATCTATGCAACTGCTATATTAAGGCCCATGATCATGCTTGATAACAACAATAAAATGATGCCTGTGAAAACTATTCCTCATCATTTTGCTGATGTATATCCTGCGGTTAAACAAGAAATAGAAACTATTTTCGGCTCTGAGAGCGATCAAAATAAGTGTTACTTCAATGTAGGAAAACCATTAGATACTGATGCTCAAGTTTGTATCAATCTTGATAGGTTAACCGAGAGAAGTTCCGGCATTTTTGGCAAAACCGGGACAGGTAAAACATTTTTAACAAGGTTATTATTGGCAGGACTAATTTACCGGGATAAAGCAGTCAATATAATTTTTTGATATGCATAATGAATATGGATTACAAGCACGCCAGGAAGGAAATAATTCGTCATTTGTTAAAGGTCTAAAAACGCTCTTTCCTGATAAAGTTGTTATATTTTCATTGGATCCAGAATCAACGCGACGACGTGGCTCACAGCCAGATGCTACCTTAATTATTAATTATAATTCCATTTCTGTTGAAGATATCATATCACTCAATGCCGAGCTTAACTTAAGTCCTACTGCATATGAAGCTGCTTATTTAGTAGCAGCTAAATATAAAAAAGATTGGCTAGAAACTTTGTTATCACAAGCAGATAAATTAAAAGAATTCGCACAAGAAGTGGGCGCTCATCCCGAATCATTAGCATCTTTATATCGAAAATTAAGAAATATTGAGCGGTTACCATTTTTAAAACCTTCAAAGGATACCTACTCTCAAGATATGGTCGATATGATGATTGAATACGTTGATCGAGGTATATCGATTATTGTAGAGTTCGGTAATTATACTTCTACTTTTTGCTATCTTTTAATAGCAAATATTATCACTCGCAGAATTCATGACCTTTATACAAAAAAAAATTTGAAGTAACCCTGTTTAGTGATTCGTTAAGTTTTGCAAAGAGAAAAATATGTTACTGTTTGTTATAAACTTTGATTTGAGAGAAGGAAGTGTGAAAAA